TTTTGTTTTGTTTTGTTTTGTTTTGTTTTGTTTTGTTTGCTATAGGGCACGTGCGCTCACCAGACAGACAGACAGAAACAGGGAGATAGAAAGTGAGAAATCATCCCCCGGGGGGATGGCCAAGCTACAATCCCTTCTCCTCCATTCTCCTCTTGGGATCTTGGGCTCACACGCACACGCGCCCGGTGTGAGTTTTAAGTCACCGGGTCCGAGACTCAAACTGCAGTCGACTACGTGGGAGTCCAGCGACATAGCCATTACACTAACTGCTGGTCCTAAGAAAGATTTTTTAAAAAAGAATAATGTATTTGCAGGTAAGCTTGCCTCTTTTTTTTTTTTTTTTTTTTTTTTTAAGTAAAGCACACACATTCATGGAAAATTAAAAGGATATTAATCGAAATGTAGACAGTAAGCACCTCTGTATAATAAGAATACATCTGATTTTTTTGTTTTATTTGTACTTTTCATAATGGACATATATTAAATTTTTTAAAAAAGAACACACTATCGAGGTTTTTTGTTTTGTTTTGTTTTTTAATTGGTTGAGAGTCAGGGCACTCAAGGCAAAAAGAAAACACTAAAGACTACTACCCTTAACAGTTCCTCAAAGAGGCAGTTTCTCTAGGCTCTAGAGATACCACTGAAAATGCTCTACAATTGTCTCTCCATGGATGCAGGCATGGCACAACACAGGAATACCCTAAATACTTGAGAAAATGAGTTAGTGATCAAATACTGAATCTGTTCTAGAGCCAGGTTCTCAGCCAGGGGCAATCACACATGGCACCTTCGAAAGACATTTTCTGTACTGCCGCGGCTGGGGTGCTAATGGCATTCAGTGGGCAGAGACCAAGGAAGCTGCAAAACATTCTACAATGCACAGGACGGGCCCCACGATAAAGGATTATCTGGCCCCAAATGTTGCTAGTGCCAAGGTTGAGAAATCCTGTCTACATCAGAAGAGGGAACCTGAACCTGGGAAACTGGTTGCAAAATACTCACTCCCCCCTCAAACTCAGGAGGCCTCATAATGAAGAGAATGAATCTGGAATTGGACCAACTGTAATTTTCATCCTACATCTCCCTTAACTGAAAGGTAGTTTCTCATCTGCAAAATGAGGATAATAGAGTGCTTAGCAACACAGTGTTAGGGCCCCGGCCTCTGAAAGCTTGATAGATATTATTGTTATTATAGGCTTTTCTTTTAGACTATGAGTTGCTTTCTACCAGAAAATAGAAGAGTTTTTGGGTGGTTGGTTGGTTTGTTATAGGGCACCTGCACTCACCAGAGAGACAGATAGGGAGAGTGAAAGAAATCACACACACACACACATTCGCCCCCATGGGTGTGGCCACACCACAATCTCCAGTCTCCTCTCAGGATTTTGGGCAGGCACGCACACGTGCTCAGTGTTTTTCAGGCAGCCAGGTCTGGGACTCGAACTGCGCAACTTGTCATGTAGAATGGGGCTGCCCTAACCACCACACCACCTGGCAGGTCCTAGAGGTTTTTTTTATGTGTAAGTTCTCCTCCTTTGCGATGAACTCACTGATGGCCTGCTCTAGTTTGCATATTTCTCCTGAAATTCATGTGTTCTCCACTGCAACAGGATTAAGAGGGTGAAACTTGATCCCATTATGGTGTTGAAAGGTGAGGGTTTGGGGAGGAACTAGGATTTCGGTCTTGGAGTGAGGCCCCTATGTCTGACTCCCAGTGGGTTTATAAGGAAAGACTGACGTGGAATAGACCTAGCACTCCGGCCCCTACTAGGTTGTGATGTAGCAGAAGACTCTCACCAGAGGTGGCTCTTGGACCTTGAACCTCCCAACCACAAGCTAAATAAACCCTATTCCCTTAAGTTACCCAGACGCAGATATTTTGTTATTAGCCACAGGACTACCTAGACAAGGCCCACCCACGTCTGACTCTCCTGTGTGTGACAGAGAGGTGGCACAGTTTAGGCACCTGTCAACACGTGAATCTATGAGATGGCCCCACCTCCCTCGGATTTCCATCTGGGGTCTGAGGGGGATGGTCTCAGAGCTCAGGGAGCAGCCTAAACAGGGGTTCACACTGAGGGTGTTCAGGAGTGCCCTGTCCCCATCTCAGTCTGGAAGAGGGGCCCTCTGTCCCAGGCCCTCTTCCTGTGCCCTATCCCATCCCCTCCCCACCCACAGAGGACAAGCAGCAGTGTTGAAATACCTGAGCTTGGGGCACTCCTGCCCTCCCCTGGGGACAAAGAGAGACACTCATTAACTAAACAAAGGCACATGCAGCAGGGGAGAGCAAAGGCACCAGTCCCAGGGGTCAGCCAAACAGCTCAGATGAGGTGTGGGGTACAGCCCAGCTCTGAAAGGGAGACGGACTGAAACACATAGCCCCCCGACTGTGAGGCCCTCTGGGACAGGGTCTGTGTCGTCTGCCTTCCTCCACGGAGCCCAGGCAGGAGGGGTTCTGAGAACCTTTGTCACTGAGTGGGCAAGGGTCCAGGAACCCACCCACAATGTCAGGGTTTGCAAGTCTGGGTTTGAGGGGCAGCTCCACCCCTGCACTGCTGCTGCTTTTCTTTTGTTTTCATTACTTAAAATAGTAATATCTACCTCACAGGAGAAGGTTAAATAAAAGTGACAATGATGATTAGGACAACAGTAAGCAGGCACTGCCATGCGCCAGGCACTCCTAACGCACTGCACGTGTATTAACTCGTCTAATCCTCACAGTAAGACACTGGGCGAGCGCCAGCGCAGCGTGCAGCACATGACAAGCACTCACAAAGATTATTCTGCCTACCAAAAGAAAGGAGTCCCTCCTCCGTCCAACGTTTACCTTGGGCGTTAAGGGTAGAGGAAAACGAAGGCAGAAAGCCCAGTGGGAGGCGAGGAAGACACGGAATTCCAGAGGGAAGGGCCTGCAAGAAGGTGGGGAGGTGGGTGTGATGTGCCCTCTCGGAGGTCGCAGTATATCTCAGAGGTCCCACATTAAGAGCAAGACCAGTGCACCTGAGGGCAGCGAGGAGACCCGGCGAAGGGGTGCAGTGGGAGGAGGGCCGGGAAGCAAGCGGGGAAGGGAGCGGCAAGAGGAAGCGATCCCGGGCGGACAGGAGCCCCTGGGCGTCCCGGTGGGAGGGCGTCCGGCGCTGGGAGTGCCCCCGACTCCCAGACCAGCAGGCGCCGCGCTCGGACCGCCCCAGAACCAGTGCTCACTCACCCGGCCCCCCTCCAGGGGCGGGCCAGCAGGGCGCGGCGGAGCGCAAGCAGCCGCAGCATCTTGAGCTCGCAGCGAGACTTAGCGGGAGCAACTGCCCCGGCGCCGCAAGGCGGTTCTGCCCCGCCTGGAACGCACCATCTTGGTTGGAGGGGGGAACGTGATCAACCCAGCTGTCATTCGAGGTCTAAATAAGCCAATACCTCCAGATATTTACCTGCACCAATAAATATTTCTCTATATTAGCATGATAGAGACGAGACCCTCTGGTAACAGAGAACAAAGAAGCCCGAAAAGGAAGTCAGGAAATATTTGTGTTTTCCCCCCTCTTTATGGTATAACCAGGGAAAGGGCGTGAGCGCTACTGGCCAATCAGATTGACACTTAAGAGATCCTGGGCCTATCAGCGGGGCGGTCATGTTGCATCCTTCTTAGGCCGAAAGAGGAGCTGAAAGAGCCAATAAGAGCGCGGGCGTGGGACACGTGCTGCGGTGGGGCGTGAGGATCGGCAGGGCCGATCCCCCTGGGGGGGAGGGCCCCGGGGACCTGGAACGCACCATCTTGGTTGGAGGGGGGAACGTGATCAACCCAGCTGTCATTCGAGGTCTAAATAAGCCAATACCTCCAGATATTTACCTGCACCAATAAATATTTCTCTATATTAGCATGATAGAGACGAGACCCTCTGGTAACAGAGAACAAAGAAGCCCGAAAAGGAAGTCAGGAAATATTTGTGTTTTCCCCCCTCTTTATGGTATAACCAGGGAAAGGGCGTGAGCGCTACTGGCCAATCAGATTGACACTTAAGAGATCCTGGGCCTATCAGCGGGGCGGTCATGTTGCATCCTTCTTAGGCCGAAAGAGGAGCTGAAAGAGCCAATAAGAGCGCGGGCGTGGGACACGTGCTGCGGTGGGGCGTGAGGATCGGCAGCGCCGATCCCCTTGGTGGGAAGGCCCTCGGGTACCTCCGCCGTCTGCGTTCATCTTCGCCGGCTGCCATTGGCCGGGGGGGGGGGGGGGCTGTCCGCTACAGGACTCTTGGACCCCGCAGGGCCACACCGCGGCCAGCTCGCTGCCTCTGCTGGGGCTGGAACCATTGGGATGAGCCTGCCCCCAGCTTCCGTGGCCAGGACCGAGCTGCCGTCCGCCTCCCGCCTGACTCCGAGCCAGCTGGCTTTTCAGGGCCCGCTCTTACACGCTATGATGCCCCAGGCTGCGAAACCAGCGTTCCTCCGTCTTTTTTACTTCCTGAAAATTTCTTGGTGTTTTCTTTGTTGTTGTTTATTTTTACCCCCATGGATAGTTTTGCTTAGTGAACACTCAAATGTATTTCAAACTCAGATTCTGAAGTCTTCTCTGATGACAGAGACCCATTTTTGTTTTAAAAAAAAATACACATATTTAATTAATTTTATTTATTTAAAATATTTTTCTATTTATTTCATACAGGTTTGGCGGAGAGAGAGGGAGAGTTAGAAAGCAAGTCACCAGATCCAGGACTCGAACTATGGTAGCCCATGTGGGAATTCCAGTGCCTTAACCACCATGCCACCTGCTGGCCCACTTCTTTTTAATTCACCAGAGAGAGAGAGAAAGTGAGCAAGCAAGCTGCCAAGTCCAGGTCTTGAACCGTGGTCAGCCGTGTCTAGCACCTAACCACCACATCACCTGCTGACCCCAAGACCCACTCTGTTTTTAAAGTAGTGTTACTGCTGGGAACCAGCAGTTAGCGTAATGGCTATGTCGCTGGACTCCCACGTAGTCAACCGCAGTTCGCGTCCCGGACCCGGTGGCTTAAACTCACGCCGGGCGTGTGTGTGTGCGTGCCCAAGATCCCAAGAGGAGAATGGAGGAGAAGGGATTGTGGTGTGACCATCCTCCCGGGGGGTGATTTCTCGCTTTCTGTCTCTCTGTTTCTCTCTCTGTCTGTCTGGCGAGCGCACGCGCCCTACAGTGAAAATCTCTCCAAAAAAAAAAAAAGTAGTGTTACCGCTTTTCTCTGTTCTAATTTGTTTATGTTTCCTCCAGCTACTTGAACCTTGCATCTGTTTAGGAGTCAGTTCCAATGCCTGTTCTGTATCCTCGATGTGACATTGGGCAAATGACGGTTCTCCCAGAACCTCAGTTTCCTCATCTCTAAAATGGGGACCTCAATACCTACCTCAGAGTGCCCCCACAGCTCTGGCCACTCCTCTTCCTCCAGATCACACCATTTAACACACTCTGGGGAACTTCAACGTTCCAAGAGTGGGGAGCAGGA